TTTCCAATGAAGTAAGCCATAAAACCAGCAAAACTTTTCACAATAACTTTCTTACAATAAAGTTTTCATTTAATACATTTGGAATAAAGTTCAGTAACATACAGGTGTGAGTATAAAGTGTGAAGGACCCAGCTGGTATAACAAATATCTGCAGTACGCAACAAGGTATCAATTGAATAATAAAGTACATAAAAAACATATGAACAAGCAACCCACCCTCATGAAAAGGCAAAGCAAACAGAGCCTGCATTAATATTTTCTGTGCATGTGCATATGGGTATATGTGGGTATGGGTGTTGGTATGGGTGCATGTGTGCATATTTGTGTCTCTTTTGGATGTCTTTTTTATCACTTTAACAGAAATGTAACCTCAGTTTCCTGACTAAAAATATTTCCATCTGTTTTCATACTAATAGATACACCCCAACAGTTTCATTTTAGCTATACAGATGTTACTATTTTGAGATCCTTTTATGTTAAACACAAAAATTGACAGTAAAATGAAATATGAGATAAAATAAACCTTTATTATATATGAAAACAAACCCTGAAAATTTAGATGGTAAACAGAGAAACCTTTTTAATCAAACATTCTGAGAAAATGTATGAAAAGTAAAAGTTAAAAAAATATTACAGACAAAACATGGGAACAGAATTTTTTAAAATTCTTTTAAAAAAGGATATTGAGATAATATGCATAAGCTAAGAAAAAGCCTTTGGGTTTACCAAATATGTCACAAAAGAAAAACGTTTTCAAAATATCTAATTTCCAAGGCACAAATAATTATCTTGTGCATGACCTAAGCTCTTCCATCACTTGTCATGCAAATTATCTATCACATTATGGCACACAAAAATACAACCTTTGAAGCTTTACGCTTCACTATTTTCTATCACAAAAGGAGAATTTCAGCTTTGAATATAACAATATGAATTACATACACTTAAAGAACACCATAATCTTATATTTCACAAAATTGTCCGGGGACCATTTACATAAATGAATGTGACTATATGAGATAACCAAAATTACATTAAACATTTCAGGGCTGATTCAGTGTTTTGACTGATGCTAATAGATGCGTTAAAAGATTTAATATAGTCTCCAGTCTGTTTTACAAACAACAACTTCACCAGCTGGCAGTAGTAAACTTGATCATTAATACATGCAATGCTTACAGATATTAACCTCTATATTATTGGCATATTTCTTTCATATACAACAGCTTTCTGCTGACCACTTACATAATAAACCTTTGTAATGGAATAGCTTCAAGTTGGAGGGAATCCAAAACCTACATCATAAAAAGGATATTGCTCTCAAAAAAAAAATGATGATAGTAAAAATTCTGTAATACCTTTCCATAAAATACCATGAAAATCATTTTGCAAGAACTACCAAAAACATTTTTTTACAAAAAAAATCTAAATACAGCTTACTCAAAATCCACATGCAGCCAAGGATAAAAGGTGTTTGTCCTTTGAGCTTTGCAAGTGGTAACATCTACTCCAAGATTTTCAATGTCTCCTGAAAACATTTTCCTTTTCCCTTTTGGGTATCTTTTTCCCAGCCTGCATATTCAGTAGTTATACCAGTATTTTTATTTTGTATTATAAAACCAATACATAACATAACAGGCATTCATGTATTACAAGTTCGTGAAATAATAATGCAATTAAACTATAAAGACAAAACAAATTAATATCAGTAAATTCCTCTCAAAAACATTTTGGATGAATCTGTTCCCAGAACTTGCAAATGATCTCGGAACTTCTGTTGACTGGTTGGTATGCTAAGAAATTGACTAGAGAACTTGCTTGAACACAACTGTTACAAAGCAAGGGTAAGAAACAAGGACCTGTGTCTCGGTATCTTCAAGAGGTTATGGTATGGTAAATAATAAATCCCTGTCCTTGTAACTTACGGTCTTCTTTAAAAAAAAATTGTCTGTATTTAACAAGTGTTACTTAGCACATAACCCAACAACCTTTGCAAAAATGTTCAAATTAGATAAATAAATGAAATTTATAGTATCCCAATAAATACTGTAGGCTTATACTTACAATTGTAAGTCATACTATCCCAAATAATGTGATCTGATATCAAGTAAAACATTTAGAATGCCATATATGTTTCTGACACAAAGACAAAACTTAACCCAGTGGCCGTGGGTTTATGTACTGTCCACTGTAGTCTTTTGTAAATTTTGTTGTACACAAATGGCTCCACATGTGATCATCTACCAAGAAGTCAATTAGTAGACCCTTGAACAAATTTCCCCATTCTTTAAATTTGTGGGATCTTTTTTTTAATGCTAACAATATCAATATTGTTATTATTGTTATTGACATTATGATTATCACATATTATTAAAATACTAATAAAATAAAAATAGTAAAATACCATAAAAGAATCTTCCCAAAAATCATGGAAAAGTGTAAACAGGTGAGAAGGGGGTGTAAGTCTAAATTTGACTAAGCATTTGTGGAGCCATCTCTGCATAAACACAATTAATAAGCTAATATTACTATGGATATGGCAAGTAATCATACCATCTGTGTCCAATGGGTTAATAATTTAATTGACGGCTAAAAATTTCCCATAAGTTACGATTCATTAGATTCATATGTATGTGGTTTTAATGATCGCAAAATACTAGTTAACAATGTGTAACTATGAAATACACTTTAAAACATACAATAAATCTTTTCTTTATTAACCAGACATTGAAACACAATAAAGATATCTTGCCTATTAATGAGATCATAATATGAGCAACAGGGATGATCTCTTGGTAGTAGAAATGTATTATATAAAATGTCAGCCTATTGCTGTGTTCAGAACTCCTCGTTTTGCTCATCCAGATAAGTTAGACAAGATGTTTTGACTATTCGGAACCTCTACTTTCTCTTCCTGGACAAGTTGTCCATCTCATCCATTTCACCCTCCTTCTCAGCCGGGCGAGCAGGACAAGATGACGTCACAATAGCATCTGTATGTAAACAATGACAGTTGCAGCCAACCATAAAATATTGATAGGTAATTTTATTTTTTTTATTGATGTTATTAAAGGGTATTTTCGTGTTTGTCAGTTGCAGATAAGTTAAATATGCACCAGAGGAGTTACAAAACCTATGCAGTCTGTAAAATAAAGACACCCTTATGATAAAATAGTGAATATTTACTTTCGAGCTGGTTACACCCTGGGCAGCGAAGGCCTTGGAGGTTCCGAATGCAGCCTCATTGTCCTGCTGGTCCTGACAAGTTGTCTGGACAAGCAAGACAAGAAGTTCCAAATGCAGCATATGTATCAACCACTGAGATTTTGTTTATATAATAAAAGAAAAATAATGATAAAAAATACTAAAAAAAGCAAATTAATTTAAAAAAACAAACACACGTATGCAAATAATTTACAGAAAAAAAATCCTACAGCAAAAACAATTTATTATTCATCTAAAATATACCTAATTAATTTCAGATTTGGAACAAAGCAATTTATCAAGCCAGTTCTTGTTAAATATAAAATATAAGATGGACCGAGATCATACATGCCATCTAGATTAATATTATACAACTGAAAATATATATATGAACAACTTAAACAAAAGAATAAAAAAATTTTAAAAACATCCTGTTGTAAATAAAAAACTTTTTATTATACAAAAAATTTTAATTTAAGAAATAATATATATATATACTACACTGTAATGTGACAATATCTAAAATTACATTCCTCTAAATAATAATATTATTTAAGAGATTATTCAAGACTGTATACTTCTATGAAGGAGATTGTTTGACTATGTGACATAGAGAAAAGGTATTGAAGATAAACAGGAATGTAAACACAAGAAAAATCAATAAAAATTAAAGCAATGAAGGTGAATCACATGAGAATAACATGGCATACATCATGCAACTGAACATTAATAAAACAGTAACAACTTTAAACTCTTTGAAAGGTTAAAAGTATAGGTATATATATAATTCATAATTTGAAATAACATTTGCATATGCATATACATGCCTGCATGCATACATACATACAGACAGACAGACAGACAAACAGATACATACAGACATACATACATATATGCATACATACATATACACATACAAACATATATGTATATTCAAACAACATAGTAATTAAATATAATATATAATACATGTACATGCATATATACATACATATTATATTTTTGTATGTTAATTTGAATATATACATACATATATATATATATATATATATATATATATATATATATATATATATATATATATATATATACCTATGTATACACACCAACATACATAATATATATACATTCATACATGCATACATATATACATATACACATACATGCATACATACATACATACATACACAGGGCTTAAATATATTTATGTATACACAAATACACATATCCAAATGTACTTTGGTAGAAAAACCCACAATGCACAATCTAGATTTATTGAAATAAATCTAGTTTGTGCATTGTGAGTTTCTCTACCAAAGTATCAATATGGTAGAGTGTTTTTCCATTCATCCACATGTACCTATATGCACATGTATATGTGCATACACATGCATACACACTCACATACCCATGTTTATGCCCACCCACACACACACACACTCACATACCCATGTCTATGCCCACCCACACACACACACACACACACACACATAAAGGCATACACACATATATATGTACATGTGTAAATGGATGTTTTATATAAACTGAACTTATAAATTTTATTAAAATATGATGGACTGCACCACGATTTGTGCGTGAAGCACCTAAACGGAACACAAGAAATCCCTAAGAGATATGAGCAGAAAGCCTACATGGCAGTAATATTGCTCTATTGCTCTTCCTAAACAATTACACTAGAATAAAGACAAACTTTTCATAAAGAAAATAATCCATCTTATAGCTGCTGTCAGCTGCTATTTGTTGCTTTAGTAAAAAGTAATAATAATAAATACATA